ACTCTGAGTTCCTCAGGAGATGTACCGATAACGCCTAAAGAATTCTCAATAGTGTTCGATGCCATCCCACCTGGTCTGTCCATGTTACACAGATGCTCCCACAGTGCTCCACGACAGGTCACTCCCCCGGATGTGAGCTGTCAAACCTTTGTGATAAAGTTTGGACTTTATCACAAAGGTTTCTTTTAATGAACGAAGTTAAAGAGATTTCATTTAAATTGATTCATAAGTTTTACCCTACCAAACAATATTTGTCCAAATTTATGGCTGAAATAAATGTAAATTGTACCTCCTGTCAAGAGCAACGTGAAACAGTTACTCATTTGTTTTGGTCACGTAAATTTACATGTAAATTCTGGAAGGACCTCCACAAGTTTATTACTGTTCTCCCTAATTTTCAGTTATACTACAAGGACTTTATCTTTGGCTGTTATCATTTTAAACACAAGGACAGTGATGCTTTCTTCTTTATAAATATGTTTGTTAGTTTTGGCAAAACTTCACATGCACAAAAGCAAAGTCCTCGGCAGAAAGCCTGAACTTCTTGTAATAAAAATAGAACTCGCACAATATATAAGGACAATCTCCTCATCAAAGAACACCGAGGCTCTCAAGTTAACATCTGGAACTGTTTGAAACTTGATTTTGGCTCTCGCAAACTTTTGTTTATTTATGTTCCCCTTAATTGATTTTATTTTTGTACTCACTGTAGTCTCACTGTCCCTTCACTCTCATTGTTCCTCATTGTAACACCACAATGTCATCTTTTATGTGATTCCTGTTCTACCTAACTGTATGTCTAAAATGTGATAAATAAAGTTTAACAAAAAAACCAAAACTTTTTAGCAAACAGTTAAATAAGCCAAAGACACTGTCAGGGAGTTACATTTGTTAACAGTTAGACACAGGCTCAGGGTTGAATCACACGATATCACAGGAGCATAGGTTTAGAGTTTTAATTGCTTTTACATTATGGAAGTCTGTGAATTTTAGCCAGTAAAATGAGTCAATTAATCAAATAAAATTTGTTTGCCCTATTTGCAGATTAATCAAAAAACATTTCCCACAACAGAGAGAGAAGTCCAAATAGATAAAAGAAACAACAAAAGTACAAAAATCTGTCCACAAAAGATTAGTGCAGTGAGACAGTAACAAAATGAACCGTTAACATCAGCGTCTTTTTTATACAAGAAAAGTTCTGGTGGGGTATAAACGATGAATGATTTCAAAAGACATTTTCTTTACTTTGTTGGTTAACAGGAATTTCGATGGAAAGGTCAAATTCTCTTCCACTCCAGGTCCCAGTATAAATTATTCCCATAAGGAACGGCCGTTGGGACACAAATTGTGTCTTTCTGCACTGGAGTCCTCCCTGCATGCCAGATGGTGAGGAGAAACCCACTGTGTCTGTATCACGTACACTGAGTGTAGGAGAAAAGAACTACTCAGAGCCGGATAAAGAAGGATTAGCTGTAATATTTGGTGTACAGTATCTCCATCAGTACTTGTATGGCAGGACGTTTATGATTATCATGGATCATAAGGCTTTGATACGTTTGTTTCATGAGATGAAGGTGGTGATACCAGAACGGTGTTCTTGCCCCATGCAGGAACAGCTACATCACAGTCGGGAATGAGCCGCGTGAAGGGCCTGGCCAGAAGTTACCTGTGGTGGCCACATATGGAGACTGACATTGAGCATGAGGCAAAGTCCCGCATTACTTGTCAAGAACACAGACACAGGCCTGCTGCACCCCTGAGAGTGGTGAGCGGTGCAAACTTTCAAGGAAAAAAGGAAAGAAAAGAAGCAGGAGGCCTCTGGAGCATATGAGAGACTGATAATAACAGGAAGGGGCACTGCCAGGATTTTACTGTTATAGTGAAGTCTGTCGGACGGCTGGTTAATTAGTAGTGAGTGAAATTTGAGTACATTTTGTGGGGTTTGTTTTATATTTATATATATAAGGTTACGTTTTTATATGGGTATTTTATTTACTAATTAAACTACAGAGTAGTTTCAGTTAAAGGGGGAGGAACATTATGAAGTAACAGTTGGTGCACACGGTTTTGACCACCAGGGGGCAGCAGTGTTTTGAGTGCTGTGCCGGTGTCTTTGTTTAAATCCAGTTCCGGAAATTAAGCGATGGCTGAGGTCGAAGCCGTCTCTGTTATTCCTTAACACTCAAAATATTACAAAGAAATTAAAATTTGCTTCTGCTTTGCTCTGATGTGCAGAAGGACAAAACGTTTTTTCTTTCTATCCGCCTGAAGAACTTTTGTAACGCAACTACACAACTAAATGTAGTCCAGTAACGCGTTACATAAGTAAGGC